GTGTGTGTGTGTGTGTGTGTGTGTGTGTGTGTGTGTGTGTGTGTGTGCGTGTGTGTGTGTATCAATCAAACATTTTACCACATGTTAAATGTTTGATTGATAGTGCTACCACCACGTCCACCGTCGTAAAATCCTCCGAAATTTGGAAATATGATCTTATTTTTATGTTAGTATACCCAAGTTAGTACTTTATAGTACCCAAATTTCGGATCTGATTATACAGGGTGGACTATTTTAATCCATCCAGTCGAATATCTCGAGAACCAAGCCCGGGAGAGAAAAATATTTCAGACAAAAGTTATTTGGTTTCGAGGGGGCCATAAGATGGTGTCATTGGTTTAACCATGGATGGTCGTTTAAAGCTCATGTAAACTACACCTTTAATTTCTTAAATGGAAACCCCTATTTTTCAATGCATATTCTTGTAGCTAATCTCGAAAGCTTTTCAAAATTAAGAACTTTTGGAACTATAAGGCTTGAAAGTTCTAGTATTTTGACATAAAATACAAAATATCTGGTAAAACATTAAGTTTTCGGTACTTTTATGCATAGAATAATGAGACGAATTGGTATGAAAAAAAGACATAGTTGCTTTCAAGAAAAAGTATGCAGATGCGTGTTGCAAATTACATATTTTTTTTTAAAGGAACTATGCTTTTTTTTATTTCACGAATAGCATATATACTTGCAGGAAGGTAAAATAAGATACCTGTTAAAGTTTGAGCCCTTAATATTAATTAATATTAACAGGTCGCTTATCGCAATTTTTTATTTTTTATTTAGTAAGATAGAAAAAATTTTATAACTATCTAACAAACAGTAATACAGCATTGCTTCACATAGATTTTTGTAGTAAATTTATCGCTTTACAAAAAAGATCTCTTATCGTTTTTTCATAAATTCAACCGTTCAAAAGATATTCAAAGTTAAAGTTTGATAAATTTTATAATATCGACTATCAAAAATTATAAAATAATCAATACATATTTTTGTAGAAAATTTAACGATCTACGAAAAAGGTCTCTTATATTTTTTTATAAATATAATCATTTAGACGATATTAAGGTTTAAAGTTCAGTGTATAAAAATTATTCTTTTTTTTCATATTATAACAAAATTCTGAGCTTTATTTATTTAATATGAAAAAAAAAATAATTTTTATACACTTTGAACTTTAAACCTTAATATCGTCTAAATGGTTTTATTTATGAAAAAAATATAAGACTTTTTTTGTAGATCGTAAATTTTTCTACAAAAATATGTATTGATTATTTCATAATTTTTGATAGTCGATATGATACAAAATTCATAAGAAGCAAAAACAAGTTTTATAAAATTTATCAAATTTTAACTTTGAATATCTTTTGAACAGTTGAATTTATGAAAAAATGATAAGAAATCTTTTTTGTAGAGCGGTAAATTTACTACAAAAATTTATGTAGAGCAATGCTGTATTACTGTTTGTTAGATAGTTATAAAATTTTTTCTATCTTACTAAATGAAAAATAAAAAATTGCGATAATCGACCTGTTAATATTATTTTCTAATTTACCTAAATAGAAATCTTCTTCCTGATTGATAAGTCTATCGACCAGTGTCGAAAAAGTGAAAGTTACATTTCTCTGACATATATATATATATGCCATATATATTGAGAGACGTCGACGTTAGTAGAAATATCTTAATATAATATTTTCACATTTCAACTTTGCGTCGCAATATTTCCGCTCGTAGGGCACGTAGCGGAAAAATAAAAACACGGCTTTTGGCCAACTCGAACGTGAGTACCCCATACGCACAAGAGTAAAGTACCAGTTAAAATACAGATAGCGAATTGGGTTTAGTCTTAAAATGTTTCACAATTTATTATTTTTGGAAAAAATTGATAAGAAATAATTTTTACAAGCAACATAATATAGATGCATATTTTACATAAAAGCAATGTCCGGCAATGTATATATTATATATATTAACAACTTCAGACACATTTCTTTATAAGGTGTAATTTTTTTTTGTTAAGATTAAGATGCGTAACACTACAAAAAAACGTGATATCCGTACAAAATTACCTTTTTCAAAAAAAAGATAAAAAAAGGCGCCAAGTACACGCATAGTAGTGTATATGTATTATGTTGTTACCTCAAAAAAAAAACAAAGTGGTAGTATTATACCTCGAAATAACACCCTGTACATACTGTTTATATAATGCGTAATACTCCAAAAAGGCGTGATATCCGTACAAAATTACCTTTTTTAAAAAAAAGGTAAAGAAAGGCGCTAAGTACACGCATAGTAGTGTATATATTGTTACCTCGAAAAAAAAACAGTAGTATTATAACTCAAAAAAATCTAAGTAACAAGTGGTAGACGTAATCTTTGTATCTTGAAAAATCTCGAAAAAACCTAAACAGTAGTATCTTTACCTCGAAAAAAAAAACAAAGTGGTAGTATTATACCTCGAAAAAACCTAAGTAACAAGTGGTAGACGTAATCTTTGTATCTCCAAAAATCTCGAAAAAACCTAAGCAGTAGTATTTTTATTTCCAAAAAATTATAACTCAAGTGATACACATCACAAAATTACGTTACCTTATCAAAAATGAGTTGAGCTTCAAGTGATCTATTATTACAATTACAAAAAAGAAATGATATCTCTTTTTAAATTACAGCGCTAATTACAGAGAACATATTTTTCGAGATACAAAGATTACGTCTACCACTTGTTACTTAGGTTTTTTCGAGGTATAATATTACCACTGCTTTTCTTCGATTAGAATAAAAGATTGAATCATGAAGAATTACACAGAGGTAACAGTACAAAATACAAATATTTTATTAAAATATTTAAACCCAACAAGGGAATACAAGGTATTTAAATACAAAGTTTATATATGTATTTTAAAAGATTTAATCGCATCGCAAAGAATTACAGAGGTAACAGTACAAAAAATGAAAATATTTTATTAAAATACATAAATTTTTCTTGTCAAAAAACTTGGCGCTGCTAGAGAAAGAAAGAGAGAGAGACCTTTTATTCTATACTTAATCATAAGCCGCATTATTCGAGAGAGAGAGAGAGAGAGAGAGAGAGAGAGAAAGAGAGAGAGAGAGACTTTTACAAATGTAAATATTACTTATTCTGTACTTATTCTATACTTATTCCATACTTAATTTTAATCGCTTTAAAAATATAGACTTATCCTAACTTATCCTAACCAGGCTGACCTAATTTTGAGGTCTAGCAGCGCCAAGTTTTTTGACAAGAAAAATTTATGTATTTTAATAAAATATTTTTATTTTTTGTACTGTTACCTCTGTAATTTTTTGCGATGCAATTAAATTTTTTAAAATACATATATAAACTTTGTATTTAAATACCTTGTATTCTCTTGTTGGGTTTAAATATTTTAATAAAATATTTGTATTTTGTACTGTTACATCTGTGTAATTCTTCATGATTCAATCTTTTATTCTAATCGAAGAAAAGCAGTGGTAATATTATACCTCGAAAAAACCTAAGTAACAAGTGGTAGACGTAATCTTTGTATCTCAAAAAATACACTGAGAAAAAAAATTGTTAATCCCAAGAAATATTTAGTTCGATACGTTTAACTAAACATTTTAGTTAGTTAACTAAATATTGGTTGTTTCAACAATTTATTTCGTTTCTTTAATCAAGAATTAATTAATTCAACTAATGTTTAGTTGAACGTATCGGACTAAATATTTCTTGGGATTGACAAATTTTTTTTTTCAGTGTATGTTCTCTGTAATTGGCGCTGTAATTTAAAAAGAGATATCATATTTTTTTTGTAATTGTAATAATAGATTACTTGAAGCGCGACTCATTTTTGATAAGGTAACGTAATTTTGTGATGTGTATCACTTGAGTTATAATTTTTTGGAAATAAAAATACTACTGCTTAGGTTTTTTCGAGATTTTTGGAAATACAAAGATTACGTCTACCACTTGTTACTTAGGTTTTTTCGAGGTATAATACTACCACTTTGATTTTTTTTCGAGGTAAAGATACTACTGTTTAGGTTTTTTCGAGATTTTTCAAGATACAAAGATTACGTCTACCACTTGTTACTTAGATTTTTTTGAGGTATAATACTACCACTTTTTTTTTTAGGTAACAATATATACACTACTATGCGTGTACTTGGCACCTTTTTTTACCTTTTTTTAAAAAAAGTAATTTTGTACGGATATCACGCCTTTTTGTAGTATTACGCATTTTATAAACAGTATGTACAGGGTGTTATTTCGAGATATAATACTACCACTTTGTTTTTTTTTTTGAGGTAACAACATAATACATATACACTACTATGCGTGTACTTGACGCCTTTTTTACCTTTTTTTTTTTTAAATAAGATAGACGGAGCGTAAGCCTGCGGGGTAGGTGATAGCGCGGGAGGGGAAATAGACCCAAATTTCGGCAAAGTTCGGTTAGACTCGGAAACATTCGGACGCTCGATCGACTCGACAGCACACGGATGTGCCTTCGCGCTTTGGTGTGCGTTGGCAGCATGTAGAGGGGATGCGCTGGCATGCGCTGTTTGTTCGATTACACATTTGACACATTTCTCCGGACGGCGGTGGATACCATAACCTAGAATACAGAAGCGTATCATGGAAATGAAGTGCTTAATTGGTATTTAGTGTACAGATTTTTTTTCAGATTTTTTTTTTTTTAGTATATTTCCCGGTTTTTGCAACCGGCCACAACACAAATTTTCATGGTTGTAATTACGGTAAATATGCAGAATTTGCATATTTATTTTTTATTTGGAAA